AGTGCGATAACTTGCAGATGACATAACCTTGACTAGATGGTATGGGACCTTGCTTAGGGAATTGTAGAATTTCCATTGCGTTTCGGGTGGGAAATCAATCTGCATTCTTGTGCAAGATTTCCTACGTAGAAGACATTATTATGGCTTCGCCTCTCGCTAAACATCGTCCACCCGGTTTACGCCTCCTATAGAGGTCTTCGCGCTACATCAAACATTTCCCTCAAGTCTTTCTTTAACCAAAAGACGTGCTCGGTAGCATTGCCTTTGAGCAGTTCTCTGTTAAACAGAGTGCAGCAGGAGAAGATTCTATTTTGTATAGAATTTTGAACGCATAAGCTCAAGGTTAGGAGATGCGCGCACCCAGCGGAAAAAATCAGGCAAACATTTGGGATGTTTTACAGTGATTATTGCCATACCACATGTTTGCAAGCGCAAAACCTATGCGCATTTTCAAAGACAAATGTAGGTGTATAACTTGGTCAGGTTGGGCATGTAACGTTCCAAGGTCTTATAATTGGTAAGGAAATGCGCTAAATAGTAGAAAGTGGAAGGAAAGGAAGGAAGGTGGAAAGAGAGGGAACGGGTTTTGGCTTAGCCCGAATACTAGCCCATGGATACAAGAGCAAGATGATCGCTAAAGTGGCCGCCAGATATGCAGGTGGCCGCATAAACAAAGCATTGCATTGAACTCTTTCTTCGAGGAACGTCCTTAGCCCTCTCCTCGATATCTCTTGCTACAGCAAACTCAAATTATATGGTACTACAGGAAAGTAACCATGATTTAGCATGGCCAGCCGTGAGCTCCCATGAGAGTGAGGGCTTGTATTTGGTGGTCAGAAAAGCTTTGACTGCATCCGTCGACATAGGTCGCATACATCTGTTGACTGTCGATTGTGTCCAGGGAGAGATACTGGAACACTGATCTGAAACAGATGGGTAAGGGAAGTATGAGATCAAACAAAGTCCTGCATGGAAGTGGTTTAGTGCAATATCATCGACATCTATACACGAATTCGATAAAGGGACTGCGAAACAATACCTTGCTTGATGGTTTTACTGCGGTATGGTTGAAGTCATTAATAGCCTACCTGTTGTAAATGGAATTGAGGTATTTGCCGAATGCGGACGTCATAATCAACCCTTTCATAGTGCAGAGAGGAGAGGTTCTCTCTTCCAAAGCATATGCTCCCCATTCCAACCTAAGAAGTTTGTCAGTAATGTAAGGTCCCAAGACGTTCTATTATATGAATGGAAGCAATAAGCGGGGCTGAATGCATACATTTAAATAAAAAGGCGAGAGGATAAGCTTTGAGTTGTCCACAAGGGCAGCCTGAGCAAGATGAATGCTATTTATGGGAAATCACCCAAAGTATTATAAGGCATCCTAATGCTTGGATGCGATTAAATCCAGCTAAATCTGACAAAACTACAAGAGGCAGACCCTGCTATTTTGCCATGATGAAGAACTATGAGAATACCAAGGCTACTATTTGTGTCTAAACAGTCATCTTTCTTCTTAGAGATGTAGCATCCCATGTAAGCCTAAAACTAACCCATGATCCTCGATTCGCGCCTCCATACTTTTAATGAGAACAGCGCTTAACCCTGCTTCCAAGATTTTCTTACTATTTTTGCCCATCTTTAAACAAATCGAATTGTTTTAATCCGTTATCAATGCATTGCCTACAAAGTGTCTTTGGGAATCAATGCTAACTGTTTCGGGCATTTCTGCCTCTATGTATAACAGTTTTAGGTTCTCGGTGCAACAATTTTTACTTCCTGCATATTTTTGTGTAAGGAAAAAGCTTAACATGCATCTTAATGTCCATCGAAGCGGAATCTGTGTGGAAGGTTTTGATA